TTTTGTTTGTTCTATTGTCACCTCTTGCCTCGTTTCGTGCATGAGTTCGGCGCTGTTCCGCTAGGAGGAGGCATCTGGCTTTTTCGCTAGTTCTTTTTGTTGGTTTATGTTGATCAGCAGGTCTTACTCTGGTTAGATCTGTAAACTTCTGTGAAGCTGTGAAATTGTACGGGGGTCACTTCGGTCAGAGAAATTTAAAGTTCTTCACAAGATGGCCTTTACTAGCTTAGCTCGAGCTGAATACCACTCGACTGTGACACTTCAGTGCAATTCTTTCCGCTATCTCTTTGGCATCAGAAGTAAAGCAGCAAGAACTGTTAGATGGCCTTGTCGGATGAGAATGGTCAGTTATAGGGGTGATATGAGACGAAATGGAAATGCGGCGTAGATGGTGCAGGCATTTTCTAGCAGAATGGAAAAACCCCTCTGCTCTTCAAGGGTAGAATGAGTGAACAGTCGCTTTCGCTGCAGACACTGGGTAGTGTCAGGGTGCTGAGTTTGGCGCGGGACCCGTCTGTTCATCACTAATGATTGAGGCGGGCAGGCGACACAACTGGTGATAAACGGGCTGCCACCACGCCAAACCTAGCTAGCTCCCCCACACACGCCTCATCATCTGCATCGAAATCAACTGTTCAGCCAGTCTTCTTCAAGTGCAAAAAACATTTTCCATTCGGCTGAAAAATTCCTGTTCTATCACTCGTATAACCGACTGTTCATATCCAACAAGGCGATCTCACATTTCTTGCTGCTTCACTTCTGACGCCAACAAGACATCGGTAAGTATTGCAAAGAAGTTACCGAGGAGTTGCCTGAAAGAAGCACGGTTGACTTTGTGGGGCACCGAATGGTACTCAGCTAAACTTGTACGAACCATCTTGCCAAGACATTTAGATTATTCATCGGGATGAAGATCGCCGGACTGAACGCATGGCATCTTCAAAGGCAGACACTATCTGCATTCATTTTACGTTCAGACGCATTCTTTGGACATGGTGATCCTGTCCGCCAGTGCACAGGACGAACATCCTCCGCAGCTCGAAAATGCGTTGGGAAAGCACGACCAGCTCGCCAGCTAAAGCAACGGCCCGTCCCTGCCCAACGCAGCGCCTGATTTTCATTTCTGGAGGCTTCCTGGAAGCGCGGCTATCCCGCCACCAGCTCTCTTTTTTTCGAACCAGTCGGATCACCCGGCTGCCGCCGGGTGCTCCTCCTTCTGTTTCACGGCCCGGCTTCGCCGGGCCGACCTGGCTTCGCCAGGCACTCTTCCCTTGGGCGAGGTAGAATGCGCTAAATGTGCCAAACGGTGGCAGTTATTTTTTTATTGAAATGTAGGAAAATGAGTTGAAAATAGCTCAACATCAGTCATTATCTACCAACATCTGGTCCCTCTTGCTTACTACAGACTTTCAACCGTGAGAAGGCTGCACCATATCATTAAGGACCGCAGTTGCGACATCAGAATGGGTAAAGTTGAATTAGTCCGGATGAGTCCTTAACACCCGGAAGAGGCATAACTGCAGAGTCATGGGTGGCACTGAAAAGGAAAACTTCTTATTTCTTGAACATGTCAAAGGGTGCGACGCACACTTTAACACGTCCAGGAGAGTTTGGCACGGGCTCGAGTGTTACCACCGAAAGGACGTCCCCACTCCCAATTGTTGGGTTCCCTCCTCTATTTTGCTTCAGTTGCGACCGCCACCTCCTAACACATCACATAGCAGGCAGATTTGCGAAAATTTTTTGATTGATGAATTTCCCGATTTTCCCGTTTCAGCCGCACTATATATCCCCCTACCCCCGCTCCCCCCTCACCCCACCCACCCGCGCACCGCTCGACATCAATACTTGCGTATTGCGCATCCCAGCATACCATTTAGTCTGAATGCTCAATATTCATTTCAACTGAAAAACAACGGTAAAGCTCCTTATCAACCCCAGTCTCCCCCTCTATATCATCTGCTGGAATCAACGCCTAGCTGATACTGCGTCTCGCGTTATAAACATGGTGACCTCGCCATTCTAACTCCCCTTATCAAATCTTATCAACTGCTAGCAGTTCTTGTCAGCCACCAGTAATGTTCATGCACTCCTTGGAACTAACGTCCCACCGTTGCTGTGATCCGCGCTATAGACTCGGTCACCCTCCCCTTCTGACGCCTCTTATCAAATCTTATCAGCTGTCACTCCCTGTCACCCACCAATAATGTTCCCGTCACAGCCCCTATACCACTGCTTGGAATCAACTTCCTACAGCGGGTA